GCATGCCACAGGTGTTGGATTGCAAGGGTGGATTCTGATCTGGGAACGCAAATTTCGTTTCTCCTCTCTCAACCAAGCGTGACGGTCGTGCATGTTATTCTCTTCAGAAGACCGAGAATGGCAGCTATAAATCAACGCATTCCATTACCCTATGTGGATGGAAACACATCTGAGAGTAGTAAAGCGGCTTTCTTGTTTGCCTGAAACGTCGGCTTAATTTCTAGGGGATCAGTGTGTCAATGAGGTTCACTGAATGAGGGCTGAATTCGCAGGGTTTTTTCGGTTAAACTGTAGACGCATGCACGACATAAATCTGAGTCATGGATATGCCAGCACCAGGCATATTGAAAGCCTAATTTTTTGGGACATTAAATGAACCGATTTCTTATATTAGCAAATATATTGGAAAGAGGTGCGCGGTTAGGAATGACGGAAAGGAACTAAATATTTCGAAGTATACACCGCCACTTTTGCCCCACAGTTTCGAGAAAAGTCAGAAAACAAACACTCCTGGGAAACAATTTTTAATAAAGTGAATGCGGAAGTCACTGATAACGTTCATTGTGGAGTGCGTTCTGGGCTCCTTTCCGTCTTTTTTCGAAAAAGCGAAGTTCGAAAAAAGGTGAAAGTCATGGAGTTACCTACTCTTTCATTTATTCGGCTTAAGTCCATTTCCTTTCAAAGATTTAATGCTGAAAGAATTCGGTTGGTTGTGAGCTCAATTAGCGTCCATACATGACAAAAAACATTTTGCTTAAAGAAAACGGTAGATCATTGTGCTATATTTAATGGTGGAATTATTATCTAGGCGAAATCCGGATAACACTGCAATGCACCTGAATTAATGCCACCTAAATTGGCCACCTTTCTTAAAATGCTGCTTTTCGCATACGTGTGCCTATATCTGGAGGTTTTTCATTTGAAATGTTCGGGTGATTGTGAAATACGGCACACGTTATCCGAGTCCCAGCCCAGAGCATAGCGCAGCTGTTCACCGAAAAAAGTATTTTTTGTTGATCTGTAGCTCGTCACTGCAGCCAGGTCAAGTTAAAATCCATACTATTTGTTGAACAGTGGTACATGCCTAAGTACATATTTACGGCCTATTTTCTTATATCTCCACTCGGAAGATGTAGTGTTCTGGTGACAGTTTAGGGGATCCGATACCGTTTATTAAACCCTTTGTCTTTGAGAGCCTATTTCTCCACAGCTGGTAACTAGTAACGATGGCATCGCTCTCGTAGGTTCTCTAGAAGTATAATTAAATGACTTTATTGTGTCCTTATACGATGTCAGATGGTTTACTTACAGTTATTTGTGACAAGATACTTAACTTATTAGTTTGCCTCGGCAAGGAGCTCTGTCGTAATGGTGGATCTTCAAACATCCACTTTAAAAACGGTGTTAAAATTTCGATTTCTTCGATTGAAATTGACCCGCCCATCTCATTGTATTTTATTGGCATATTCATAAAATAACTGAAAAGTATTGGGGCATTAACTAATATATATATACATAGTTTATGAAGTCGCGGCGGATTATTTATGAAAATATTTTGTGTAACCATTTATGCCGTGGAACCGCCCTCTACGATGTCAACATTTTAATTGTTCTGAATTGAAAACATCCCTAATTGTTTGCCTTTCTGCCCTCAGCCAGCGTTGTTGTAGTTACTAATACAAGCAAACATGCAAGTCCCAGGAAGTAATTGTAGTAGTAACACCTAAATACATCCATTATTCGACGGCCAGCATGAACACACTAGAAGTTGTGCTCTAGCAGCTACTGATTAAATTCAAAATTGAGGCAGCTGCGTTATATGTCCTGAGGACTATTTCAAGTTCACAGGTCAGTTTCCGAGAAATTGAAAAAACGCAAGATACGTCTGTTCGCTAGAAAAACCCACTAATGAGGTGAATCCGTCACCCTGTGTCACACAACGGCACAACTTCGAGAAAACGCTCGCCTAAGTCTTTAACTGATAACTAGGCTGGTATTATGGTGAGACAACCATTATGTACGTATGATTTGTGTAAATGTGTTATTTCCACTCACAGGTGTTCTTATCTCGAATGAGTTTGCAGCTCTCAACTTCACCGATGCTAGCAAATAGACTTCTAATTTCCTCTTGGGTCATGTTCTGAGGAAGGTAGTTCACAATGAGGTTGGTGCCTGTATCTTCTGGGATTTTACTGAGCGTAGGAGGCGCGATTTCTGCCTCAGTAACTTTTGTGGACCCGTTCAGCTCAAAGGCCCCACTCAACTGACTGCATATCGTAGCATTAAAGTTGATGGG